GAACTTACTTATTGTTTAATTTTAAGTAAATTTGGTTCACCTAGTAGGCTGTAATTGAAATTAACGCGTGGGTTTTGCTTCTAACATGCACTTCGCGCATTGTCATTGATATCGTTTTGCCTCTAATTACTATTGTCTAATATGTATTTTGAATCTTTGGGTACTCGAATCAACTTCTTCATTGACTAAGTCACAGTTTATGCTCCAGGCTAATAGTGCTGCTTGTTTTTTCGGGATTGTTTAGCTTATCTACTTTTATCGTCCTTCATCGAGAGGACACCCAAACTGCTCACTGATTACCGCTACAAACGAGCGGTGATGTTGAAAATAATGTCGGCGCGTCAGGACTGGCGGTGGCAGCGTGTTTGGAAACGTCTACCGTCACAGCCGGCGTGTCCGACAATGAATATGGAAATTACCGCCGGTGTGTGGTTGTGGTCGCGGCCAGGACAGAAAATACGTCTGTCATGAGTCATATTACAGCCATCGTTAACGTCACGTGATGGAATTCTGAGCTTCTAATCATCATAATTGGTGTCGCTCGTGCTTGTCGATGCTCATCAAATTGTGAACCGGAAGATTACAGCACGCTATTTGGGAATATTTCATGATTTTGGTGAGGTAATTGTTTCCACTTTCTTATCCTGCGACAGATGGAACTGAGGGACCGAAACGGTGTTTTCTGTGTAATGTAACAGATCAGCATTCAACAGTGATTGAATGACCAGGGCCCTGTTTCGGACAACAAAACTAGATATGTAGTTGTTAGTTTTCAATGAATACACGACAAACAACTCAGATGAGATCCCACAAGGCCCATATAAGGCGGTTCGGAAGATTTTCGGCACATGCTGCAATATCATTAGAATGGACATGAGAATGCTAGAACACGGTAACCATATTTGGGAGTGTCCCCTTACTGCAATTACTTCAGCCAGTTGGTGTTGCTTTCAATGTCATCGCTCAACGCATTGCATCTTATAACGGAGCCGAAATTTGGGTTTGCTGTCAAATAAGTTTAAAGCATATGGTAGTTTTCTCGAAATATTTGGCACTTATTGATGCAGGATTGCCGAGTACCTACTATCCTCTGCGGGTTGTGCATTTAGAATACCGTAACCGCACACTGCCGTGCCGTCCAAAGTTGCATGAGGGCATTGCCGAAACACATACCCACGGAATCTACTCCAGGGCTGGCCCATGCGCTGTCGCTCTATGCCGTATTCTTTCCGGAGCGGTGGAATGCGATATTCGTCCAGACATGCATGAGCAGCGATGCTGGTCAGACGGCTAATTGTTGGGCCGGCTGTGGCGTGCCACCTCTACACCGGCGAGCGTGGGCTGCGGTCAGGGGCGGACTCAGGAACACATGGGAGTCGGTGAAGTCAGAGGCGACACAAGGAACACGAGGTAGGGGAGATTCGTTGAGCATCAGGAGCGGACCCAGGAACACGTGAGAAGGAAACATACAAGTCTGTGACATCAGAGAAAACACAATGAGTGCATTTTAGGGGTGATTCGGAGCTGCAATAGGTATCAAGGAATAACGACGAAGAATGGGTCAGGGTGATTGGGTGAAGCAAATGGAATTTGAGGGTATGTCTCATATAATCATGTATAATAAGATTAAAATGTTCAGTAGTCGTGTCAACTAAATTGCATGACACTTTATTTTTCGTTGAGTGTGTCACTGTCGACGGATTTGTCCACGATGAGCCGGACTGATAAGATAAGTAATAATAACTTGAGCCGCGGCATGAGGAAGCATTACCGGGCGTTACGTGTCCCTGCTTTCGCATGCCCAATCCAATAATTATACAGACATAATAACTCAACTGCAAACGAAACGGTGTCACGACATGCGACCCAAATGGCTTAGTTGAAGGCTGTGTAATATACCCCCGGTAACACAGCATACCATCAACTTGGAGCACCGTGCATTTGGCCAAACGTGACGTCGAAAATAAACACACGCTACGTGCGAGCGAGCGCGGCTGTGGGGGCCGCGCAGGCGCTTTCAGACACGGCGGCGTTACTCGGCTCGGCGACACGCCGTTACGCGTGACGACCCAATTTTCCGCGTCATTTGACCACCCAGTTTGGTCCGGACGGCTCGCCAGCTCGCCGTGCTAAAAGCTGGTCCATGACGTTCGGGAGACACATTAGGTTCAGTGTTGGAGCTCGTGCGATGCCGCTCATGAGAGATGAGACACTGAGACATGGAGACAGTCATGAGTCATGAGGTGCCTCGGCCTACAGCGCGTGGCGCAAGCTTGTTGCCAGATCAGAACTGTCAGTCGTCGCATAGTGCCGCGGTGGCGGGCCGGACGACCGTTCTCGGTTTCGCCGACTAAGCTGCAATGGATGGAGGGACGGGGCTGCTGGATTCCGGTAAACGATTGTCGTATCGTAATGAGCGAATCACTTTACATACAGCTGTTTGCCATTGCAGCTGTAGCGTCTACCAATATCTTATACATACGGCTCACATGGCGGGGCCAGACAGCTCCCTTCGTTTGCCACTGCCGCCGCCGGATGGGCAACATCTTGGGTAACATGCCCTCAGTCAGGCGGAGCAATGCTCCCAACGGCCGACCCTGCAGACGATGGGCCCATGACGTCACATTGCCCGCAGCATGTGGCGCCATCTGCTCGGCCATGCACGATGACGTCACACCCTACATGGACGGGTGATGACGTCACAGACAGAGCGGCATCCGGAACCTCGGGGTCTGTCTCAGTATCTGCCCGTGCCGCTCCGGCTGTCACGTAATGAAGAAACTGGAGAGTCAACAGCGTGGCGAGCGGCCGGCGGAACTGCACGACACCCGGTTTATGTTTGTGTTGCAGGGGCGCCGGCGCCAGTGGCTGCTACCGACTCCATTGTGAGCTGTAGCGGTCCTTGTGGGCCGTGTCCGCCGCCTGTTGGCCAGGTATTATACCGCCCGGTCGGACAGAACTGCTACGGAGCCCGCTAAATGGCCGGGTGTGGGCTCTCATAGCCTCCGACCACAGCTCCATAAGGTGTAATTAATGCTGCAACGGTACCCGCGCCCGGGAAGGGAACTTGTGGCCGGCGCTTCGTACGGCGTAGTAAGCAGATTTTAGCTTACAATTTTCACCGTCAGTGCACAAACACCTCCTTGAGGCTAGAACTTACCAGGAAAGTGGCAAGGAATAGCAAGAACTTGATCCTTAGACATCCTTAGACAATGCAATGGTATTTTAAAACACTTTTTTTCGACTGTGTAGCAGCAGCAAAACGTTTCTCATAGTGACGTTATGTAAACAGATAGAACCTTATCAGAATCCGGTGTCGACACGACTGGCTGCGACCTGGCGTGACCGTTTTTGACTGTTCGCCAGTGTGTGTTCTTGCTGCTATTTCCGGAAAGACTGCGGTGACCCAGGGCAAACGGAAACGCTGATTCAGACCCACCAAGACCGGAAGCAGGCTGTATCGCAGAGTAATTCACGCGACAGGACTAGGAGGGATACAGGGACTGGGGACACGTTCCACGGAGCCCAGTCAGGGGTGACCAAGGGAAGAGCCATCAAACTCTAGCTGTCAATGGATGGGGAGATTTATCTGCAACTTAGACCACGTCGGCCGGCACCTGGTGAAGATGCGAACAGGTATGTTGAATCACCAGGAATCCGGGGGTGGATGACTGACGTAGTTGGACGGTGAGGCATCCATCGAACTCCTGCGAATCCGTCCGGGCTGCTTCCAGCTGCCACTGGCAGGGGACGGAGCCGAGGGAGCGCCGGCTGGTGACGGATGTGGTGACACAGCGCGACCGGGCGACGCCCGCCCACGCCCCACCCGATTGTGCGTTGCACTGTGATAGCGCACGGCTGCAGTGTGCACAGTGCACGGCTCACTGTGCATAGCTGCGGAGGTACGGCTGCGCCGGCAGCGGGTGCGGCCTCGTGTCGGCCATCCGTTGACGTGTCGCGAGGTACACGGAGGCTGAGCTATCGCGCCGCTTCCGTGGACACGGGGGATGAGGGAGCGGTGGAAGGAGACGTTGGACGATGGACGATGGACGGCGAGCGTTGGACTTTGGACTAGACGGTGGACGGTGGACGGGACTGGTGGACCTTTGATGGCAGACGCTGGACGATGGACGTCTGACTGCGAACAGACGACAATAGACGGTAGACGGTGGTATGCCATCCGCCATTCCCAGCCCAGTCCCTACCGCCTCGACGGGCCCACCGTCTCACCCCAGCCTTCTGCACCGACCCCATGGCACCGCGGGCGGCGCCAGGTGCACCGGTCTACCCAGCAGCACCGTCGGCACGTCCTCCCCACCCCGCTGGCGCTTTGTGTGGCCAACAAGGCGCCGTTAGCCGCTCCGGCAACGTTGCACACAGGATGCCGACCAGCCGTGCTAGACCGGCCGCGTTAATACAATTATGCTGAGGTCCCAGGCCTATTACGCCGCACCGGCCCGACCGGCCGCGAGAGGTGGCGGCGCCGGCCCGGCCGTGGCATGATGCTCGGCCTCCGGACCGAGCCGGCCCGGCCTTATTGTTATTTACTGCCCGGCCGCCCGCACGACGGCCCGCGGGCCCGCCTCACGGAGCGGCGCTACGTCCACGGAGCTACGGCTGACGGCCGGCGGGCGCTGCAGCCCGCCCGGCGTAGCGCGCTATGAAGGCGCCCGTGACCCGGAGGTGGGCAGCGCGGCGGCGGCGGCGCCGCGGCCGGGCCCGACATGCTCATATGCAAATACCCGAGCGGCGAGCACAGATGGCACGGATCTCTAATTCGGCTTGATAATAGAATAAAAAGGCGGGGATAAATCATTGCGCCGCGGCGTCTCGCCGGTTTGAACAAGAGCGGCGGACAAAGAGCGGTCGCAGACGGAGGAGAATGGAGTGCGGTCTGCACGCGACGGGCGGGGCGCCGCGCCGGCCCCTCGCCGAATGGCTATCTGCACACAGACACGGGACACGACACTCGGCGGTGGCGTCTCGCCACTCGGACTTACCGGCGACTTGATGCACATGCCGTTCTCGATGAGTCCCGAGATGTAATCCATGTTCCTGTATGGCTCCGTGCCATTGAAGCACATGTGGATGCTCTCGTCGAAGGCCGTGTCGACCTGTTGTAGGGGGAACACGCACACGGCCGACCGGTTCTGGTACACCATCGTGTTGCCGTCGCTGGGAGAGAACACGGCCACCAGCACCGGGTCGCCCGTACGCACGCCGGCCGCCGTGGCCAGGTCGGCGCCTGCCGACATCAGCCGCGCTGATCGCACCAAATTGTACTCCCCACACGACACTGTCACTTCCGTGTAGCTGTTATAGTTTGGGTCTGTTACACACACGCGCGCTATCCGCGATACGTAGCCCACCTCGTCCTGACCGGGCAGGTGCGACTTCTTTTGCACCGTCACAAAGTACACAAAATCACCGGCACTAAAGCCGTCCATATACTGCACAAGAAAATGATCACGATACTTCACATCGATGCGCATCAGCGACTGCTGCGAGAAGGAGAACTCTGCGTACTGCAGGTCGTCGAGCCGGCGCGTGGCGATGGCCGGCACGTCGTGTCGGTACGGGCCGGCGCCGGTGAAGGTGGCCGCCACGTAGAGCACTGGCTCGTGACTGTCCCAGCGGTGGTACCGCTCGGGCCCCAGCAGGCCCACCGTGGTGGCCTGCTCGTCGTTGGCGGCCACGCTGACGGGCAGAAACTGGCCGTTGGCCGGGTCGTCGAGCGGCCGCAGCCAGCAGGCGCCCTGGCGCACCGAGTCGCAGCTCAGCAGCTGGCTGCTGCCGTCCAGCACCAGCAGCAGCTTACTGAACGCGTCCGTGGCCTCTGTGGCGGCGCCCGGAGGACACCCGGACGCCGGGCACGTGACATTGTCCTGCAGCGGCCCGGTCTCGATGCGCGAGAGCTGCGACAGCGCGGCGTCGAGCCGCCACAGCCGGTTGACGCCGGCGACGAACAGATGACCGGTGGGCGCGTGCTGCGCCAGGTGCTGCAGCGCCGCCGTCTCGCCGCCGGCGTCGAACGAGGCCACCAGCGCGCTGCCCGTCTCACGTGACGCGCGCGCACATGTGAAGATACATAACGACGTCCATAGCGCGGCGGTGATCATCGCTCTGGGCCGTCGGCCGGACCTGCGGGGGAGGCAGGGCGTCAGGGAGCGGAACAGACACCGGCACGGGTTACACAGCGGCTCAGAGAGCGGGCGGGAGACGGGGATCAGACGCAGCCGTCAGATGCCATCAGCGGCGACCAGGAGAGCTAGGCTGACAGGCCGATAACATGGACAGATAGACTGCAGCGGCGGCCGGCCTTCTCAGAAACCGCCGCCGCTGCAGAGTGCCTTCAATCAGACCTGCCACTAACATTATCAATGCGGGACATCAGACTCTGAGAACAGCCGACAACACAACGACAGCGCTGTCAATCACTGGCTATTTTGGTGGGTCCGCAGCGGCTGAGGTCGTCCACTGGATGCACTCTCTAGTCATCGGCCGGCCCCGCTCGCCGCAGCGCGCAGCACGGCATGCACACGCGAGGCAAGGTCAGCCAACACGGTGCACACCTGCAAACACACAGCAACGCCCATGATCGCCGGGCCATCTTATCGCATCATCACGCCGCGCTGCACGCGAATGCCGGCACCAAACAGAGCGCGCGCCGGCCGGCGTACACACAGGGAGCGCCGCCTGCCCACCGTCGGCCGAGCTCCTCCTCTGGCGCTGCCGGCGCAGCTGCCCGCCTTCACGCTCCGAGGAGCGCCGTCATCCGTCACCGCAGATGCTAAGTGAATTAATGAGGGCGGGCGGTGACGCCGCGGCGTGGCTCATTGCGCTAACGAGACGGCCCACCAGCCGATCGCATCGCCGCCGCCGCGGTGGTGCCGATACCGGTGCAGTGGTGGTGATTTTAGTGACGGTGGTTGTAAGAGTGATAACAGCAGGCACAGGACGCGTCACGGCGCGATTAGTGCCGACCATGTATGTGGTATGGTCGGACAAATCGGTTTTATGCACTGACTTGCGATTCTTTGTCGAACGCCACTGACATTTACCGGAATCTAGTTTTACCGTTCTTCACCAACACAAGTTTGATGTTCCCATTCGATCTTGCCAAATTACTTGCACCACTGCTGTGGCTTCTCGAGATCTCTGGCGCTGCTGCTGCTGCTGCCCTGTCTGAGTCCTCTGCAGAGCTGTTTTCGTAACTGTCTGCTGGCGCCTCTTTTGTCCGGGCTCGGAGCCAGCTCAGCCCCCGTCCGCCGGCGCCCGTGTCTGCCGTCTGCAATAGCTGGGGTGGCGCGCGGCGCCAGCCGGAGCTATCGCACGGCGCCGGGCCGGATGTGGCCGCGACAGGGACGGTCTGGGTGTCGACTTCAACCACCGGCGGCGTGGGCAGTTGTTGACGAAAAGCGGCGACGGAATACACAGGGTGGCTGATAGCGGCGATAGCGGCTGTTTCGGCGGCGGCGGCGGAGGCCCGGGGCGCCGCCCGCCGGCCGCCGCTCTGCTGCAGATCGCGTGCGGCGGCGGCGGCGCCCGTCCGTCCCGTTAAACCCGACGGCAGACGCCCCCGCAGTGAGACTGTCCGGAGGGAGCACTGTGGACGATTCGGAGAGGTATCGCACCCCTGTCTTACCTGCGCTGGCGCTCATCGCCGATGCAGCGGGAACGCCGCGACAGCACGGCGGTGGTGGCGGCGGCGCGCGCGACGGAGCGACACAGACAACCGCAGCCGGTCGCGGCACGGGCTCGACTGGCGAGCCGGCCGGGCCGGTTACGTGACCGGTGTGCTAAGTCCCGCCCCGCCGCCGCCGCCGCCGCCGCCGCGCGGACGCCAAGCCGGTCCCGCCGCCGCCTCGCGGACCAAGCGGCCGCTCAACGGCCGGGCAGGTCGCGCGCGGCAGGCCGCTTTGATTAACGGATATAAATGGTCGAAATTGCTGTGGGTCGTATGAATAGTGCCTTGGGATTGACGTGGGAATTCTCCGGATTCACGGATGTGTTCTTGAGTCGCACACTGCAATCAGGAAATGACACAATAAAGAGGCATGTTTGCATTCCTTCATCCGTCGGTCATTTCAAAGGGCGCCCAATAAAATGTCGTTCGGAAATCTCAAAGTGGCGGAGCAGGCCTGAGCAAAGACGGTGCACGCTGCACAAATTATGACTGGCGTTTTATGATCACTAACTCGGCGGGCCTGAGTGGATGGGAATTCCGGTCATCCTGCGGTGCCGCAGGTGAATCATTCCATTTGGGTGTCATTTTGATTTAATGGAACACAGTAACTCAAGCAAAAGAGGACCCACTTAGTGATTTAACTAACATACAGCCTAATAGCTGTAATACGTCCATGTCAGAATACTCTCACATTTGGCGCAGTCTAATTCAAACCTGCCTCCCATCAAAGGCTTTTGCATGGTTGATTGCATCCAAATATTAGTTTATTGCTTCCTTAAATGAAAATGCCGGCTCGTAACAAGGCCAAGAGCAGAGCAGGCAGAAACAAAGAGGAGAACTCCAGTCCGGACCTGGAGGGGGCTGGCTCTCTCAAGGAACCGGACCTGTCCTTCGCCAGGGAGCTCTCCGTCTGCGAGTGGCGAGATGTCGTCGACCAGGAGGAGACTGAGCTCTTCATCGCCGGCATCGTCGACGAGTGGGTGGAGAACGTGCTGGACGTGTGGTACCAGCGGTACCTGGACCGCGCCACGGTACCCTACGTCTGGGAGTGGTACAGGTCGAACCTGCTGGAGCTGTTGCGACTCGACTGTCTGGCGCCGGAGCCGGGCGAAGACCCGCTGACGGACCCCTCCTGGGTGCCCGACGCCGAGCCGGTGCCGACGCCCATCGACTCGTGGGCGCCGGCGGCCGTGCCGTTCGTCTCGGCCGCCGAGCTGAAGCGGCAGGAGAGGGAGGTGATGAGTGTGCAGCGCTCCCCGCTCCAGTTCGACCTGGGCCCGCCGCTGGAGCCGCTGGTGGCCGACTGGCAGATCCGCGCCCAGCTCAGCTCTGCCCTCAGTCTGCAGGGCGCCGGGCGCCGGCCAGAGAAGGACCTAGCCCTCTGCATGGACGACTTCTCATCCAGTGACCTGAGCATCGTTACCGCCCCGGACAGCTGCGACTGGTGGAAGTGGGCGCAGAGCCGCCGACTGGACCGGCAGACTGACTCGGGTCAGGAGCACACCTCCAGCGAGGAGGCGGCCCGACACGTGGTGGACGCTCCAACAGAGTCCCTCTCCGGAGATACCGAGCTGGAGAACACCTACCGCGACTTCATCAAGTGGGTCGACCTGGTGTCGTCGGATGAAGAAGTAGTGGAAGAGTTGAAGCCCCCTGAAGAGGAGAACTTTACGTACGACTCTGGGGCTAGAGTTGACTATGAGGGGTTGAACATCTGGAAGCGGCAGCAGCAGCAGCACAGGGCCACGGAGCCGCAGGTAGTGCCCGACGAGCCGCCTCCGCCTCCTCCCACGCCCTCCACCATCGTCTCCGAGTGCCGGAGCTGCTGCGCGGCCGGGGGAGGAGACGCCGCCGCTGCCGTCGCCGGACCGGACGACGCCGACACGGCCCGCTCCCCCGAGCTGCCCGCCATCAAGCAGCTGCGCGCCCTCAAACTGTCGCGCTGCTCCGGTCTGCTGGCCAAGTCTGATGAGTCGTCCAGCACGGAGGAGCGCCTGCCGCCGATCGCTCAGGAGTCGGCCCAGCCGGCCAGACAGAAACGGCACACAGCGGCCGTCAACCGCACCGACCCCGGTCATTACGAGCAGGTGGAGGTCGACTGTCAGGTCACCGAGCCAGAGAAGTTTGTCGGAAAGAAGCCGACAAGACTGAGAAGTGGAAAGGCGGGAATGAGGCGCAAGTCACGTCCGGCACAGTCTGTGAACAAGTAGTTGAATAATTTGTTGTGTGTCATGTCTGCCAACTGTCCTTCTCTGGCTCCCAATGTCTTAAGTCGAGGTGGTAGAAGTGTTCAGTTTAGCAGGGTGATAAAACCAGAGTCGCTCGCTAACACCAGCTCGGTGAGAGCTTCCGGCGGCAGATAGCCGCGGCGGGGAGACTGCATCTCTGAGTCACCATCTATCCGGGTGACTTGGTCTGAGAACTGGGAGCATCCCTGTTGCGAGACAGACCACTGAGGCAGACCGCGGGAGTCAGTGTCACAGACGCCGCCGCATTGATGACGAAATAACTGCGGTTCGAGTGGATGGAATTGCGCGCTAACACAAAGGTGACGAGAAGCTCTTTGACTATTGATGTGTGACCGGTGCCGGTTCCGGGCCGACACGCCGCTGACCGAGGTCCGGTTCACAGGTCTATCGGCGGTCACATCTTTGGAATGTCATTGGATATGATTGCAGCTGGGGTGTCAGTCGCAGCAACAAGATGCTGCGGCTCGCCGGCAGTCTGGGAGAAGTCGCCATGGACATCTCTCTCACAGTCCAGCACTGAGTGATCTGTACATAGTATTGGGTGACGTGAACATTGCATCTTGATAGCACGTGAACGTCACCGGTGAACTGAGACGCTTGTTACTGAATTATTGCAACGTCCGCTGTAAACGTGACTTGTGAATAATGTCTGATGATTATGAGCTGCGAGAAGTGAGCCGAGCGACCGATTGTGGCAACTTGTTTGGAATTCGTCCATCACTTGGCAACACCATGATCTGTTCTGCCTTTATGCAGGAAGACATTATAGCACCTTAGCCACCCAGCCGGTGTGTCGAAACCGAGAGCTGTTTCAAAACCTTGAGCGCGCACTCTGTCACCTTTTGGCAATGGTGTCCGTCACGATTTCGCACGCGTTCGTCGGTGGACGGGCGTCTGGGGCGTCGGTCCGACACCTGTAGTGCGCGCGGCGCCGGAGGCCCACCCTCGCTTTGTTTCGCCACCTATCGCGGCCGGGCCGAAATCGATTCCTCTCTGTTGTTCGGCGCGGCCAATCGATCCATCACGACAGGCAGATGTGTTGACGGCGCATTTCCATAGCGGGAGCGACTCGGCCTCGGCTGGATCCGGCCCGGCGCGGCGCGGCGGCTGGAACCGGCGGACGGCACACTGTGGAGGGCCGCCGGGGGCCTCCGCTGTCCACCACCGGGTGCACTCTGCCGCCGCCCCCTCCCTGGATACTGTATGTCATTACGGATTATGTGCAGTCGACTCCGGCGCGGCGATGCATCAGGCCGACCTGACGCCGCAGATTTGTATCGGCCCGGCTGCGGGCGGCCGGCTCACAAAAGCGCGCCCGGCCTGTCGGCGTATCGGCCTCTGCGCGGGCGGAGCCGTGATGGGTGTGTCAGACACCGCGGCGTGCGTCCTGAGACGATCTCATCCCTCTCCCCTCCCTGAGCTGCGCAGCTCTCTCAGCCGCAGTCAATGGGTCCGCCCGGCACGAGCCGCACATATTTGGTTTGTTTGTTTGAGTCAGTTTGCGACTGTGTGTCTAAGCCGGTGTTTTTCTTGGTTCTGCGACACCTGAGCGAGCGCCATTTCAGCGAACGACATTTGAGCGAAACATTTTCAGCGATTATCAATTTAAGCGATTGACCTTTTCAGCGATTGTCAAGTCCGCGAATTCAATCACAGCGATTATCAACTTTGGCGAGGACCAGAATCAGCGAAACCAGATTGAGCGAGTATATGGTGGTCAATGGGAGACCAATTGAGCGATGCAGTTACAGCGAAACCGAACGCGACAAAAGTCAATCATTTGCTACTTCTCGGAAATTTTTGCCCTTGGAATACCCGTTTGGTAGGTGTCATGCTTCAAGCTGCACGCGGCAAAATATAAATTTGCTTTTAAGTCCTTGGCCTTCCGGCATTTCTTCCTTCTCAGCTTTATAGTCACCGTGCTCAGCTTGTGGTCAATAGTTTTGAGCAGCTGGATGAACTTCGGGAACAAAGTAATTTGAAAATTATTGCACCTCTTTACGCATCATTTGAAGACACATACATCGGACGACCAACAAGGGGCGGGAGGGGAAGGAGGCGGGTAAAATTTGAATTGAAAATGTGGAATGTGAGAGATAGGACGACGGAAGGAATGCCAAGGACCAATAATAAACTCGAGAGATGGCACAGGGGAATCCAGTCTATGTTTCAGGGACCTCACCCAAATACCTGGAAATTTGTACGGTGCTTGGGGCAAGAACAAATTTTACAACATGGAAACTGATCCAAATTCAAGCGGGGGAATTTCGTGAAAAACAGCGCAAGCGATATGAATCTCTGAACAAATGTTTGGTCACCATTATTGGCAAAGAGCAGGGGAGTGAAATTGAACCGTTGAATTTTTGAGAAATGTAGCATTAAATTTGGAACTCAATGTCTGACCTTAGAACGTGGCATCCGCCATCCAGTTCCGGATAACCATGAGAAATTCCGAAAACATTCGTACGCAAGGTTACTTTACTATTATACGTATGCGCTGGCAAAAGAAAAAAAAAATACACCGTAATAGGACGATGAAGTGTTTCGCTGAACCGACAGTCGCTCACATTGTAGTCGACGAAATAGGTATCGCTGAAACATAGCTTTCGCTCAAATTGATAATCGTTATATTTGATAATCGCTTAACTTGATAATCGCTGAATTGCCATTCGCTGAAAATGGTTCGCTCAAATGACGTTCGCTCGAATGACACTCGCTAAAGTCGCTCGCACCGGTTTTTCTTGTGGCTGGGTTCCGGCAGTTCGACTAGGCTTGCGTGTCGGCATGAGTGGGGCGGTGCTGTTTGCTGCCCAGATATCGTGTTCATCTTTCTGCGCGCGCTGGCTGCTGAGCTCATTCAGGCACTCTGACATGCTTCGTCCGATTGAGATATACAGCAACTGGTGGGTTGTGTTTTGCGTTCATGGACAAATCTATTTTCATTTGTATTCAAAACGAAATGAATACACTAAGACAACTTCAGGAAGCACTCAATTCTGGAACGTGAATCGTGTCTGCTGGATGGAAACTTCATCTGAATTTTTGTTCGCGACCACATTTTGAGATTCACAATAGCCAAAAAATAAATACATTCATATTGCACCCATAAATTAATACCTATGTTCCCAATACCCAGCGTAGATAAGCAGGCATCCACAAAGCCATAACTATCTCTTGTCTTCCCTTCATCCGCAAGTTCATGAATCTGTGCGTTGAGCTACACGGTAATTCGGCACCCCTGAAATTTCCGTCCTTGGGCACACGTGCTGGTAAGTGGTTTGTGCTTGAGCGAGCACTTATCTTTGTCTGGGGCAAAGTCACACCATGAACATAAAGCCATGTGTGCCACCGGATATGCCATTTTAGGGAATATTTCCATGCAAAAGTAGGTACATGCAGTTGGATTCACGAGAGACGATGGGCGCAGCTAGCCAGGTCTACTTTCCCTGCATCAAAAAGACTTCACTCCAACCCATTTTTATTGTTTTTAC